CAGCACGGCCGCTCGACTGTTCCAAGGCAGCCATTTACCGCAGCTGTTCCTTGGTATGCAGCATTTGGCCCTGAACAACATGTCCTTGGCCCAAGAGTACCTGTCTGCAGCCTACGCAATGTCCACGGGTGCGGCTGCCGGCACGGTGCCATCCATACCCGCTAATCCTTCCAGCGAAGGCCATGGCGGTGACCCGCTGGTTCTCAATGAACTCGGTGTGGTACTCTACCACCAGAACCATCTGGAGGGTGCTGTAGAGCTATTCAATCAGTCGCTGGCTTTAGCGGCAGCACTTCATTGTGAGCCGGGTGCCTGGGTGGCTACTCGGGCGAATCTGGGACACGCACTGCGCCGTATCGGACGACTAGCCGAGTCGCTTGCTGAGTTCGACGAATGCCTTCGGATCGGTGCCGGCGGAGCGGGCGTCGCCTATGGTCCGTTTCTGGGCGGCACTGGCAGCAGCGCCTCGGGTGTTGCGTCGTCGGGTGTTGGGGGCTACGAAGACCGTGGCTTGATCGGATCACTTCATACTTCGCGTGGCCTTGTTCTGCTGGAACTTGGACGGACAATGGAGGCGGTCACAGCTCTTCATGAAGCCGTTCGTGTGCTTGGGGCGAGCGGAGGCGGGGATGCGGCTGCCGGTGCGGGCATTGCTGGCACTCTTCTCTCCCGTGCTTTAGAGATCTGGGCTCTGGAGGGCCATGAGAGGGAGTCTGCACCATCCGAAGATCTTGACCGAGCGGCCACCAGCCGCAGTTCGACCCGTTCGCGCGACAAGGGCAAGGGAAGAGCATTAAGACGGCGTGGCATGACGGAGGAAGAATGGACGGATGAAGTCCCCCAAGCTGATATCCCGACCACGGGCCCTGCGACGGAGACATTGGAACAAAAGGTGGAGATGGGGCTAGATGACGAGGCAGATGGGCTTTTACGACATGCAATGAGTCGTGTTCGCGGCGGGCGAGGAAGACGACGACTTGATTTGAGTCCTGATACTGAGGCCATTGAGACCCCGGGGCCGGCGGGAGCTCGCAGTCGAGAGTCCAGAGCGGTTCGAGATCATGCTAGACCATGATTGATAGGTGGTGGGGTGAGTTTGGGTGCATTGCAACTGGGCGTTTGGATGGATATACCCAAGATTTCCTTTTGGTTCCATTGGTCATTAGCTTGCTAGATGGAGATTGACACGACATTCCTTTTATTTTTTTTGTGTTGGATGTACATGCCTTTGGACGGCAGCCGAATTGTCATGACAGCTTCTCTCTTCCTTGGTATCTTCTATCTCTACAATTACCATCCCCAATAGAGTCATGCCCGCAGCCGTCTCATCGAGACCATTTACATCTACCCACGGTTAGTCCTTTTCTCGACTTCAAAGTCTAGGCCTGAAATACGTGCATGGACTGGCAGTGATCAAAGAGATTCGACATAATTTCCACATTCTCTGTGTCATATCTGTTAGGGTCTTACGGAGTGGTTCCTAGATAGATTCCTTTTAGATGTCAACGGAACGAGCCGCTGCATTATTGTTTCAGCTTCAGCCTCTCGGGTCTCTTCCTTGACCCCTTTTACCTCCAATCTATTGCTGCGAAATAACACAACAACAATACAGAACTATCTTCGAAAAAATATAATGCTTTGATAAGAGCTCTAAAGTGCTCAAGGTAGGTTCAAATTTTCGTCAGAGGCTGATAGGCCACCAGCTTTAATGTCATACTGTTAACATTTTCCAGCAGCAAATTGCGATCACCGTGGGATCAACGGTCTGATTCAACCGCAGCTTGGCAGCAGTTGTCTCTTTTACGTGTCTCAGATTAGTCTAGACGAAATCAACTATCTAGGATGGTATGGTAAATTTCTGGAACCATTCATTTGCCCATGTGGAGCTAATATGGTCATTTTGGATTGCAGTCTGGACACACCGACACAGCCTCTTCAGTCTGCGTAGCGAAAGGCCTTGTCTTTCCAGCAGGATGGACCAAGACCGACTCAGGACTTGAGTGAGTCCAACAACTCCACCGCCATGACATCTGGATAGTCGAGACTAACTTGAGCGTTTACGTAGGACACAACCTTGTTTCAATTTAGGGCCCGCGTGTCCGATGCTCTCAATGGTCGAGGAACAAATAACATTTGGGATGGATGGAGTCGACCGCCGTCATTCCACCACTGATAGCCATCAGCAGCAACACTTGGAGTGGCTGTCCCTGAGATGATCCACGAAAGCTTGTCCATCATTGTCGCTCTGGGAAAGATTATCGTGCCTGCGTGGCTGTTTCATATTCGAATTTCAGATCCCGGGCCCCAAGAGGCCAGAGCGAGTTCTTGGGATCTCCATTGCGGCTGCGTCAAGAGTCCCATAATAATGGCAATGACTTCTGCTAATAATATCCCACATTATTAGAATGGGGGCCGTTCGCAGGAAATCTCCTTTTGTTAACCCCAAAGGATGCACTTCAGAGTTCAGACAGGAGCTCTCAGCGGGTCTGGTGCTGCCTCTTTCCTCATTTGACGAGCTCCTTTCCCTCGCCTTTGTCCCCTTCTGCTTGCTGCGATTGTGACTTGCGACTGGCACCCACGAACATACGATGGAACCCGCCCTCTGAATTGGACCGTCCTCATCCTGCTCCCATCGGCGATGGCGCTCCCGAGTTGTTCTCTACTGCGTCCGCGGCAGGGGATTCTCCTCTGCCTGTTCTACGTCATTGGTGCTCTGAGCTTGGGCTTTATCGTAGCCATATGGTATGGCGTTAATACAGACAGAGATTATATCCACCCCCTCCTCACGCAATTGATCCCCGCCGGTCACTGCGCCTGCCAGACCTCAACCACCTTCCAATGTGCGAGCTGTCTATCGTGTTCCAAACACAGCCTGAGCACACAGTTGACTCCATCAACGCGTTGGGTATTCGAGTACGAGCGGGATGGAAACAACGAGGGCCTCAATCGACACCAGTGCGATGCTGCTTTCCCCGGTCTGTACGAAGATGTCTTTCGCGCGGTGACCTACTGGCGCTCGCACGGCGCTCTCGCTGCAGATGATCTCGATCAGATCAGACTAGAACCCGGCATGGCAAGAGCGGCCATCTTCCGCGGGGAGCTGTACGTGGTCGCAGCCCGATCAAAGGGTGAGGACCACCGACGAAAGACCCTGGCCGTGCTCAGTGCTATCCATCGTGCGCTGGTCGCCGATCCCCTACGGAGTACGCGTCGCGACATCGAGTTCGTCTTCTCGGTAGAGGATAAGGTGGAGGATGTGACTAGCGCTGAGCACCCGGTTTGGGTCCTGGCTCGTGCGGCGAACGAGGAGGCGGTTTGGCTGATGCCTGACTTTGGTTACTGGGCCTGGGACAATCCGGATAATGCGATCGGACCGTTCGACCAAGTGGTCGAGAGAATCAGGCGGACTGATATTCCGTGGGAAGAGAAGAAGCAGCAGCTGGTTTGGCGTGGTAAGCCCAGTTTTGCACCCAAGCTGCGACGTGCCTTGATTGAGGCCGCTCGCGACCAACCTTGGGGCGATGTCAAGCAAGTCAGCTGGCCGGATCGGACCAATGTTCTTAGTATGGAGGATCACTGCCAGTATATGTTTATCGCACACGTGGAGGGTAAGTCTTCTTGATTCTTTTTGAGTTTGGATGACAGCTTATTGCTGCTCCAGGTCGGTCATACTCGGCTTCCCTGAAATACCGTCAGGCCTGCACCTCCGTCATCGTGGCACATAAGCTACAATACATACAGCATCATCATTATCTCCTTGCGGCCGATGGACCGAATCGGAACTACGTGGAAGTTGAGCGCGACTTTAGCGATCTGGCTGCCAAACTGGAGCCGCTCATGCGGGACACCAGCGTCGCGCAGCAAATTGCCAACAATAGCGTCAAGACATTTCGCGAACGATACCTGACCAAAGCTGCCGAGGCGTGTTATTGGCGGCATCTCTTGGACGGGTACGAGAGCGTGTGGAACAGCACCATCTCGAAGGGGTCCTATCCGTATCAGACTGAACGAGGTCTGCGATACGAATCATTTGTGTTGTTGGAGAGTCAGCGAATGTTTGACTTTACCGCTGCCAACTCATATTAACCTTGGTTCTTTGGATACTGAAGTGCTTATGGGGATGGGCAACATAGCAGGATGGAGTTTTGGCGTACAAACTAGACAACTGGTTTGGTTGTATTGGAATCATTTTTCTCTCTCTTGACGAAACCAATTAAGCGTTCTCATGCTCCCAGTGTTAATATCTTGGATCTTTTTTTAACCCATTTTTTCTGCAGACCACTGGAGATGTCTGCCGTGGTGGACACACTAAACATGCACCTAAGGCACTACTGGTATCAATCTACATATCTAGTAGTGGCAGTCCGTCCCTCTTTGACCCTCCTGGACTCCTGGTCGCATCTCGACTTTATCTCAAACAGAACCGTGGTTATCCATCAAGTTATCACAGTCAATGAAATATTGAGATCCTTTGTTAAGATCAAAATCGAATAAATGGAGAAGTCATACCTCTTTAAGGCTGACAACCCAGCCACCCGACTTTCCCCTCGCTTTTCCTTGCTGTTTCTTCGATGTCACTTTGTCAAACACACCAGTCCGCTATGACAATCCGTCCATTCTGAATGGCTGCTCCAAAGCGAAGGAGCCAGCGCCCGTGACGAACCATGATCCGTGCAGCAGACGAGTCCATCCAGTAGCAGTCTCAGAGAGGAAGTGGTGGAGTCTCCAAGGGCGCCGAAGTCTCCAACTATCGAAAGATCATCGCGATCGAGATCTGCATTCATAGCTGCAAAAGCCAATCACTGCCAGAGTTGTGATGCAGCTATCTGCAGTGTGAGCTGAGCTGGGGATGGGTTACACGAACAAACTTGCGAGAGCAAAGAACTCTGCCGTCATGGAAGTGCGTTGATTTAAGCTGTGGCTTTTCCTTCCTGTGCACTTCATGTTCCTTTTCAGCTTTCTTTGGGGGTTGTTCTTGAGTGATACAACAGACGACCAACATGCCGACTCCCATTCCTCAACCGCCAGGTCTTCCGATCTTGGGAAATCTGTTTGATATTAAGCCAGGCAATACTTGGGGTTCTTTCAATAAACTAGCGGTGAATTATCGTGGGTTTCCCTTGCGTTTGCTGATCGCCAGTTGGCAGTAATCACCACGAGCACTACTGACACGATTCTTCAACAGGCCCAATTTTCAAAATCAGCGTGGTTGGTCATGATATTGTCTTCATCACCAGCGCAAAACTGCTCGAGGAGATCTGTGATGAGAAGCGTTTCCGCAAATGTGTGACCGGCCCTATTGTCGAAATCCGCCAGGCAGTCCACGACAGTCTGTTTACCGCGTTCCACCATGAAGAAAGCTGGGATATTGCCCACCGTATCATGGCCCCTCTGGTCTCGCCAGAGGCCGTGGTCGAAGTTTTTGATGGAATGCGTGAAACCGCCACAGATCTGGTCAAGAAGTGGACTGCGGGACCCCGGCAGCGCGTCAATGTCAGCAACGACCTGGACCGTCTGAACCATGCCGCCAACATGCTCTGCTTCTTCGACCAGCGGATCCACTGCCTGGAGGGACCGGAGCCCTCGCTCATCAAGGCCATGGAGGCCGCCACGGGCGAAGCCATGCGTCGCCCCACCCGCCCCAAGTTTCTGAATTGGCTCATCTACCAGCGTCGCTTCAACAGCTACATCAAGACGATGCGCGACTACGCCGCCGAGATCATCGCCACGCGTCGCGCCTCTCCGACCGAGAAGAAGGACATGCTTCATGCCATCCTGCACGGCAAGGACCCGGAGACCGGCCAAGTCCTCACGGACAGCCAGCACCTGGACGAAATCATCAACATCTTCATTGGAAGCGCCACGACCTCTAACCTCGTCTCTTTCGCGTTGTATTATCTCATGAAGAACCCGCACGAAATCACCCGTGCCCGCGAGGAGATCGATGCCGTGGTCGGCGGCCCGACAGACCAGCTCGAGCACGAGCATCTCGCCCGCCTGCCTTACTGCGAAGCCATCCTGCGTGAATCGCTGCGCCTTTCGGCTACCGCGCCGGGCTTCAACATCGAGCCCATCCCGGGACAGGAGGAGCCCGTGCTCCTTGCAGGCGGCGAGTACCAGGTGCCCAATAACCAGCCGCTCATTGCGCTTCTGGCGGCCGTCAACCGCGACCCGGAGGTCTTCGAGGATCCGGATGCGTTCAAGCCCGAGCGCATGGTCGGCGAGAAGTACGACCGGCTTCCGTCCGGAATGAAGAAGGGTTTTGGGAACGGCAAGCGTGAGTGCTTTGGCAAGCGCTACGCCTGGGAATGGTCGTTCATGATCCTGGTCACGATCATGAAGGACGTGGACTTTGAGCTGGCAGATAAGAAATACCAGACGGAAGTTGAAGGAGTCAATTACAACGGGGCTTTCAGCACCAAGCCGCTGGGGTTGTTTGCGTTGACGGGACCTCGACAGAGGGTGTGACTGTGAAAGGTAGGACTTCACGCGTTACGATACCATGGTTTCAGTTAGCCAGTATGCAGATGCTTTGTATATCATTCTTATCTTATATCTAATCTATGCTTTTCTCGCCTGGATCCTGCCCGCTCTCCAAACAATCACGATGACCATCAGCTCCGTTGCTCTGCCTTCTCACTCTCTTTGACCTCTGTCAGAATCACCCGGCATCCCAAAGGCGCTAGAATCCCCCCCTGTTCTTTTCATCAGTGACCTGTCTCCTCTTTCATACCGGATTCAAAGACGAGACTTACCGGCGTCATCTTCAACCGATACCCCGGATCCACCCTCCATTCGATGCGTCTCACCACCTCAAACACAAAATCTTCATCTGCAACAACACAAACGCCTGCCCCAGGCACTTCCTCGAATGCGCATTGAAGGGTATATACGTGCCGCGCACCGTCTCCCGGCGAAACCGCGCATGCATCTCACCCACCGTCCGGCCCCATCGCTCCGGCTTGAATTCGTTCGCGTCGGGGCCCCAGATTGCCGGGTTAACGTGCACCCCGTACGCATTCCAGCCGACAAAGGTGCCTGCGGGGATAGGGATCTCGTTACCTAGCATGGCGGGGCGGAGCGTGACGCGGTTGATGAGCTGGGAGACGGGAGGGTAGAGGCGCAGAAGCTCGTAGACGACGGATGTGAGATAGGGGAGGGCATTGACGATCTCGGACGTTGGAGTGGTGGTGTTTGTTGAGAGGATTTCAGCGCGGAGGCGGGTTTGGACTTCCTGTATCCATCAATCGTACATTGTCACGTCAGCTGCCGCAGCACAAAGAAAGAGGTTGAAGGGGAAGAAAAAGGGGGCTGGAGGGAGGTACGGTATTCTTCCCAATCTCCCAGAACATCGAGTTAACCAGCTGCTGGGCGTTCTCGTGCGCCGTCAGAAACACAATCTTGAGATTGTCCTTGAACTGCTTCTCGGTCAGTTTGCCGTCGCGGTACGCGTCGACGAGCATATGCACGACCATCTCCTCGGCCGGCTTTATGCCCTTCTCGCGGTTGCGGTCGATGTGGCCCAGCACCGTCGACATGAGGGTATCCCCGAACTCGTGCATGATCTCGTACGCCCGCTGCCGGGACTTGATCAGCCACGCGAACTGGTCCAGATCGGGAAAATTGAAGAACAGCGGCCGGAAGAGCATCATCTTGATCACGGACTGGATGGCCTCGAGCCGCACCGCGCCGTGCGGTTTCTCCAGGCTCTGCAGATCCAGATCCAGAAAGCTCGTCCCCATGACGTCCACCGCCCACTGCTGGACATACGTGTTCACCAGAATGCCCGCGCCGTGGCCGGCGGCTCCCTGCTCCGAGAGAATCTCATCCACGAACCGCCTCGACTTGAGCAGCACCGGCGCCGGGTCGAAGTTCTTCTTCTGCAGGCCGGGCTTCATGATCCCCGTGTACAGCTTCCAGGTTTCCCCGTGCGAGTTGATGATGTTGTCGCCCACCAGCGTCGCGATCACCGACCACGGGATCTTCTTCTGGCTTCCTGCTTTCGCGTACAGGTCCTCGTTGCGGAACATGTCTGTCAGCAGGTCCGGGCGCGTGACGAGGATGCTCCACCGGCCGGCGAACCAGATTAGCACGGCGCCGTGGGCTTCGAGGGGTTTGCGCAGCCAGCGCTCGTAGATCTCGTCTTGGCCCATCGAGCTCCAGAGACCGAGGATGGAGACGTAGAAGGGTATTCTTGGGAGTGAGGGCAGGTCCCAGGGGACGTGGAGGTACCATGCCAGGTAGAGGATGAGGGTGAGGGGAACTGCAGCGAGGTAGTAGAGCATCATCTTTGATTTGGAAGTGTTGTTTGACTTCCGGGAAAAGACTGGGTGAAGGGCTGAGTGGATGGATGGGAGATGGAGGTCCTCTGCTTGTCTCTTGTATGCTCGATTTGTGGCAACGATGGCATGGCTTAGCAATCTAAGAGATTCCTGCAATAAAACTTATGACCTAGGACTAGACCAGTCTGAGTCGTACTCAGTCTGATGAGTGTAGCGGCGTATGCATCCCAAGTCAGCAAATCCGAGCTGATGTCATCCGTCAACGACTATCTAAAATCATATATGAATGACCCCGAAAAGCTGACGAACAGCACTAAGCAAGGACATCTCTCGCTTCACCAAATCTCAAGTCTAAGACCCAACATGGCGACCGAAGCTCTGCACCTGTACAAAGACCGTCTATCGGCAGAGGACCTCGATCTCAAAGATCCCCACGGTATGTCTGGCCTACCCCCCATAGCAAACGAAAAAGGTTACTGAATGAAACACAGTCTCCTCCAGCCTGGCCCTCTTCGCCATCCACAACGTCATCCGCCGCAATCTCAAGGCCTGCGCAGAACACGCCACTTCAGTGCAACCCGCAACCGCCGATGCCTTCGTCACCTACGCCAAATACACCCTCCACGTCCTGCGCGACCAACTCGACTCCGTCAACCAGATCTGGTTCCCAGTGTTCGCAGAGCACGATGCCCGCTTCGGAGAGCAAAAGGGCGCACACGACGCCCTGTACGAGAAACTCACCGCGCTGGAGGCGCATCTACCCGGCGCCGCTGAGCCGGCCCAGCTCGAGCACATCCTCGACCTCTCTACGGAGATTGCAGGCGAGTTCCGAGAACTGCACGAGATGACCGACAAGCAGTACGATGTCGAAGAGGACCTTGTCAACCAGTTAGGGCGCCGGGTCCCTATCGCGACGATTCGGGGTCTGGAGAAGAAGCAGGAGGAACGGCGGAGACGGGACGTCAAGGCGTACGGGCAGCTGTGGACGGCCGTGTATCTCCTGCGTGGCCTTGAGCCCAAGGAACGGGCAATTTTCCCGCCGGGTATTCCGAAGTTGATTATGGGTGGGATGTTGACGGCTGGGGCGATGCAGTTTCGCAGGTGAGTTTCGGGGCTGTGTGTGCTCGTTTTGATGACTGTGGCTGATCTTGCTAGGGAGCTGCAATTCACGCCGAGATTTTGATGAATCGGAGTTTGGTTGGTTCGTGGAGGTTGAGGTTGGGTTGGGTTGGAGATTGGCTTCAAGTTCCGCGTGGGGATGATTGTTACTCGAGTGTGGCGTGCGTATTATGAGTCTTGGGAATTATGTCATATTTTGCAGATTGAATTCATTCATGTTATCTGTGTCAGTGTCAGCAATGAACCCTGCATGATCCATATGGATACGAGTTACATGGGCAATGCTGACTGTAGCTGGGCCAGGTGTGTCAGCTGTCAGCTGCGGCGGATACGGACGCCATCTTATGCCTGTGCATTGATCTATACTAAGCAATCAAAGTCAGCCTTGAGGTTCTGCAGGTGTAACCTGCAATGGGAGTTGGATCTGGGTGAGGAGGCCTGACAATGAAGATATTGCCGAATAAAGCGAGGTCAAGATGACTGCTCTGACTATACTTGCAGGTAAGCTTTGGATAGCTCAACATGCCTTCATAGCATTATGAGAAAAGCCAGACATGTTCTTCAATATAAGTTTGTAATAAAGGTCCCAGTTATTCAGAAATAGCCAGAACATCATCAAGAAATTGTAGTAGACATCGAATCTCCTTGTCGTACACCATGAAGCCCGACGCCATGTCCACCGAGCAAGAGCACAAGTCCACCCGTACGAACGACCTGTACGAGCTCTCCGTCAACATCTCCAGCGCGGTAGAAACCTTTGTCGGAAGACTGGATACAATCGGAGCCCAACGGCCCAATCTAGACGACCCATTTCCGGAGATCATCCAAGATGAAGGCGCGCAGCTGGCCCGGTTGAAGATTCTTCGCCTCTGCGAAAGGCTCATGGCATTGGTACAGGGTCCAGTCCAGTGGCTCATGTTCCAGAATATGGCATTTCTCGATCCCGCGTGCCTGGGAGCGGTTCTGGACATGGGAATCCACGAGATCATTGCTCCTGGCCCTGAACCGACGTCCCTCGACCAGATTGTAGAGGCAACGGGGGCTTCAAAAGATATTCTGAGTACACAACGCCCGCAATCTGGTGTTTGAAGGTCGAAGCTGACAGTACCCTCAGAGCGAATTATGCGTGTTTGTACGCAAAGATTGATTTTCGATGAGATTGAACCGGAGCAATTCGTTCACAACGGCGTGTCCTTGCAGTTCCTTGCGCCTCCTGTACATGCTCTCATCACTCATGCGTGAGTAGCTGTGGTCGGCAGAAGGAGAAGATCGAGACTGACGAACGCTAGCTGTGACGATGGACTGCGCATTGGAGCTCATTTCGCTGAGTCTCTCAAGAAGACTGATTGGAAGGGAAGTGATAGTCCGGAAAATTCGGCCTTTAGCCTTGCCTTCAAAAGTGAGTACACCCCCCAAAGTCGTGCCCTTCTCGTGCTAATCCCTCGTAGCGAACAAAGGTCTTTTCGACTACTTCTTCACTGAGGATATCGCGCGCGGACAGCGCTTTGCCCTCGGCATGGCAGGCACTGAGATCATGAAAACTCTCACCGAGGATATGTTCCCCTTCGAGTCTCTCCCGCAGGGCGCAAAGGTGGTGGACGTTGGAGGGGGCCGGGGCCAAGTCAGTGTGCGCATTGCAGAGAAGATCCCTGGTTTGGATTTCGTTGTGCAAGACGATGTGTCCATGCTAGAGGCTGGTCAGGCAGAAGGGATTCCCAAAGCAGTCAAAGATCGGATCGAGTTCATGCCGCATGATTTCTTCAATGAGCAGCCGGTCAAGGGTGCGGATGTGTATCTCTTGCGATTCATCCTGCATGATCATCCGGACAGGTTAGTCTGATGCGATCGATGAGGAACGGCTGTAGCTAACGGTCATAGTCGCTGCGCGAAAATCTTGTCGAACATCGTGGATGCAATGGAACCAGGAAAGTCGCGGATTCTTATTGACGACGCGATCGTTCCCAGCTTCTTGGGTCCTGAGAGTTCCCGGTTCTTTAACTTCCTGGATCTCTACATGCTCGTCGCTATGAATGGAAAGGAGAGGACTTTGGAGCAGTGGAACCAGTTGTTCCAGATGGTCAGCCCGAAGTTGGTGTTGGAGAAGATTTGGAAAACGCCAGACGGTGGGCCTGAATCGGGAACTATCCTAGAACTGCGGCTGCAAGAGTAATTCCTTCTAGAATATGTTTGTTTTATTCAAGGCCAAGGTAGATTTACTTTACTTAGTTTTACAATGGCATTGTCCTTCCCGGTGACGCTGAAACCGCAATATAATTGAGCCCATCAGGTACAGTAAGAGTTGCGATTGTTGCATTTCATCCCTCAGTCAAGTTATATACAAATCATCACTCGTATAGCTAGATAATTCGTGGCAGTCTCAGTCCTGAGTGGAGAACCATTTGACTGAACAGATCACCAGTGCTACTGGAAGCCATTACCTCACGATCACAGCCCTTTCAGAAGGCTTGACGTCAACGAAAACGCATACCAAACGGTTGCGACCAGGGAAATTGCATTCAGATGGATTGACATGGCGTGATTGCGGGAAAATGCCTTGTTTGCCTGTTGGAGCTTCGCTGGATCCGTCGCGGTAGGGCTATCTTCATTCATGGCATTTTCTATTTGCAGAGGTTAGCTACCATCGAGTGAGACTATGAATAACGACTCCGAAGCCTACCGTGAAGCGCCCTCCTAATGAAAGCAGTCTTTGTGGTCCGGGGACCAAAAACGAGCCAATTCAGCGCCCCGGTGACACCCACCACAATCAAAGGAACAGAGTCCCATATATTTGTCGAAAAAGAGAGTATGCTATAAGGCGGACGAGTAACCGCAGTCAAAACAACCAATCCCACTTGACAGCGAAAATAGGCTGGGAAAACGCGTTTCTGGAGAGCAAGAAACTCTTTCATAGGAAGGGCTCGGTAGCAGACTTTAGTGTTGACAAAGCTCTGACAGAGGACGAGGTGTCATTGCGAATTCATGAACAGGAGGGAGTAATGCGCTGCTCACCTGAAATATTTCCGTTCCCAGAAGAGTTCCATATGAGAGCAGATGATATGGAAGCAGATTACTGACAGCCTCAAGGATCGCCTGCATTGTCTTATGTTCTTATCGTAGTATCAGAGTTTATGGATAGTAACAAAGTGACCGTCTAGAGCTTGGGACGGTTGTCAATCGATTCAGAATACAACAGTTACTCTTGAACGGTTAACAAAGCAGAGGAAGAGAAGTCAACATTTGAGGTTGTAAGAAAGTCAGGCCAGAAATGAGTGATTGGTGCCACAGGCAAACATGGCTGCCTGAATGCCCCTGTAAGATCCTTTGTCCTGTCGCTCTCTTTCAACTTTCAACTCCTTTGCACATTTCTCAATTACACACATCACACCACGCATCACACTACTACTGCCCTTATCCCTGAATATGCTAGTCCTGGAATCCATCTCATATGCATTACTCAGCATCTACATTCACTTGGAAGTTGTGAAGTCATATGGCAGCTACCAGAAGTAAGGTAAGACACAATTCCAAGCCAAGAGGCTGCTTCCTTTCTTCCTTCAGCTGTTGGTTTTCCAGTCCGTGTTCGATTGCTCATCGTCAGCTGGTGACACGAGTGTTCCTAACACAGATTCGTGTTCCACTGCCAAGATCGATTGCAGTTTGGACTGCTCGAGACTCGGCAGTTGATTACTTGCATCTATAGTGTACAGATTCAGCCCCGCCATCGTATCCAGCTTTAGAATCGGAAAGCAACGGACTCCACGGAGGAGAGGGTTCTTCCTCCAGAGGCATTCCATCAACCATATGGCTCTCGATTCAAGCTATTGATTTGGAATTCCCGTCAATCTTCTGACGCATCTCGCGTAGTCGACTGACCGATTGGTCAGCCATGACGAACATAAGGATTTTGGCTGACGGCAGATTGACAGCTAGCTGCGGTAATTGGTTGATCTCCATGAACACTGACTGCTGAAGCCTGTCAGAAACTGTCGTGAGGCATCCCATTTGGGCTGTTCAAGACCTCGTACTTTTGATTTATTCTGGCTCTGTTGCCTGGCCACGGCGCGGATCTGGGTCTTCCAGCTTAACCAATATTTTTTGAGCCGAGCCTTGGGTATACGAGGTAATTTATAGTCAAACTCAAGTGAATCTGGACCACCCTTGTCGTTCCCTTTGAGTCCAATAAGCATACCCTAGACACTGTCGAAAAGATGATGTCAGATTGAATGTTTTTACACCGACCATTCTCTGTGGAACACGATCAACCTTGGGGGGAGCCTTTAGACCTTTGTGATTCAATTGTCGTATTCACCAAGTGATCCCTCTCTTGCGAGCTGCAGGAGGCTTATCTGACAGTTTACCAGGGGTGCTCTGTATGACATACCATCATGTGAACGCGTCTCAAGGATGCATCGCTCGATGAAGGATCATTGGCTTTCTGACCACACGGTTATGCACCGCCGAGAAGGGAGCCACTTCGTCAGATTTGCAGCATCGAACAGGCCATATTGAAATGCAGAAGCAAGATCTTCCCGTCAATCGTCAGAGAAGAGTTTGAAAGAGTGATGATATGTCATTGGCCGCTCCAATATAGCTCGTTTTGGAGTACATACGAGAGAGGCTGGTCTATTGTCAATGCGCCACGACGAGGCTAGATCGGAGCATCTTAGCGACGCAGCATTCTTAGACGTCGATATTTGCAGAGTTTACAGTGCTCTAGCGTTGGACCTCAGATCTATAGTCCCTATGGGATACAATGTCATTGGACTACTGAGAGTGGCAGCCTGTAATGCACTGCAGAGCTAATGAGTTCAAGGGCCCGGAGCCCACGCAGGTTCGTGTTTTCTCTCTGGCCAATGCAACGTCATCCCCACTGTTGCAAATATCACCATCGTGACTAGGCTTGGCTGCTGATATCAAAACAGCTAATATGACTCGCCCAGTCAACGGATGAGATAATGCCAAACCTCACCTGAACCGCCCCTTTTTCCATTGTGGCAACATGACCAGCCAATGACCGCTCCTGACACTTTACAACATGTAAGGCCCCAGAAGCATTTTACCCCCAGGATCACAGGTGATTGATTTGTCGAATCCAGGCCGTGGCTCGCTTTGGAAACTCAATAGGTTGGTCAGCTAACCATGTGTCAGAAAGCTATAAATGGATGCGGTAACGACAAGGAAGGCATCCTCTATGTGATGATGAACTTAGAGCGGCTGAGCACCGCTGATTGCTGAGGCTTCTTGCGTAATCCTCCTCATTTTGAGTAGCAGGTCTAAAGGGCAGTGCTTGTTCAAGCTAGGCTGGCGTTGTATAGAAACCTCGTGGCAAATTCCACGTTACCCTGCCTCAAAGCCTGTCTTTTCGAAAGACTAATATACCGGCCGAAGGCAGAAAAAGAAAGATATAGGAACGCCAAAAGGCCATTACCAGCGAATGATGCGTCCACAGACCACAAAAGAGGAACAGTCCAGAGATGACACCTCAAACGAGAAGCAGGACCCTATTGAACGCAGAAGACTTCAAAATCGGCTATCTCAGAGGAATCATCGTCAGTGGAACCTTTACAGTGTTAATGCCATTCTCATCATACATTCACTCACCCGCTCAATAGGCCGCAAGATCCGGGACAGGATCGCCAAACTTCAAGAGCGTGTTATCGCTAGCGAGCTCAGAGCTGTTGCAACTCTGAATGGATGGGACCAAGCGAGTCCTTCAGCGGCGTCGATCACCGAATCCAGGCCGCAAGGTGACTTTGATAGCAGACCGTTGGCTTCTACTCCAGAAGGTCCAGCAATTTTGAATGCCCCCCAACGAAACGTCTCCTCCAGCCTTTGTCGTTCCTGCTGTAGTCTACTGGACCAGATACCCGCGTCGTCGTCTCTACCTTCCCCACCTTCACCTCTGCCGTTTGACATTGGACTCGCCAACGGGGTTGACCCTGCCAACTCATCACCCTCTACTCTCTTGAACTCTTCTCCCTCCTCATCTCAGCTCAGTCCTTTCAGCTTAGATGCATCTTTGAATATGACGGGGCTTCATACTCCGAATGAATTCGGCTATCCGCAATATCCTGACCCTCCAGGCTCCCAACAATATCCACATTGCCCGCACTACTACGTAGCAACAGGTGAGACCTACACTGCCCTAGTGCCAATGACCAATTAGCTAACCACTGTGTCTTGACTCTAGAGGCCTCCCTACCGCAGATTATGCAGACATTGGGTAGTACAACCTCGCATCCCAAGGCAATCATCCTGATACCGCATGGTAGTCTGCCGCCGGGTTTCTCCTCCGCACAACCATTCACAGGAGCAAATGCAGCAGACTCCACAGGCCTCAGAAACTCCTTGAATGGAAACCTGCATAATTCAGGATGCCACTGCTTAAGACAGGACCGCAGTTCCAAATCCTCTGATCTAGGAACATCTGCAGAATGGATAAACACACCATCTTCGACCTCGTTCTGTCCGCTGCATCCCTCACAGTCGCCATCGTTGGACAATTTTCAGTCGATGATGCTTTGATGTCGTATATATATTTGAACATGCTTCTTTATGTGTCCATGATGTTATTTGTGAAAATTTGGCCTGATGAAGTACATATAGACCACACGTCTTCGTGTGACAAGGTCCTTTTGAGTGTCTCAGAGCTCTCACTACTTTCTCTGTATGGATTCGAAATAAATACTTTTTTTCCTTTTGATGGTTATGTATTCAGTGTCTCCACTTGTTTTCTACAGTTGTAAGAGCATACTCTATTTCTGTCCTATGCACAGCAATCCGCACTTGCATTCCACTTCGTAGTAGTTGTCATTACACGCCAAAGTCAGATGGCTTCCTGAGATCTAGACTAGATATAATTTTCACTACAATATGGAGTTACCTGTGGAAATTTGAAAAGGATAGATTCAAAGTACCTAATGAAATTGGACCAATCTACTTGACGGCTTAATACAATAAGAAGGGAATGAAGAGACTCAATGTAGAATCAGCAAAGATAATCCTGTGGCCAAGAAAGCCATTGGCTGTACAAGAAAGGTTCTGATGGCTCCGACAGATCGGGTGAACACTCAGTCAAAGTGAATTCTCCATAGCTCCCGATCACAATCAGTCTTGTACCCTGTCCGGGTATGCAGCATAGCTGTGTTGTCGCTCACAAGCAGATCACCCTTCTCCCATGAGAATCGCAGACAGACCCGGTGGTCGTACGTCAGGTTGTCAATCACAGAGACCAGACTCTGCTCATCGTTCTCGATTGTGACTGCGCAAGTCGAGAACTTGGTCTTGGTTGAATCCCACGGCTGGTGCCAGCGCATGCACGGCAGCCCAGTCACAGGGTGTGTCACAACCAGGGGTAAATTCTTCAGCTTGGCATCCCAGAAGCCGTCATTGTCCATGGCCCAAGTAGCTTTCTGCAGCCGCTCTGCCGTCCACGGCAAAGGCAGATAGCGGAAGAACAGACGGGAACTGGCAAAGAGCGTGTAGCCGCTTCCCTTGGGCGCCGTGGCGGGACAGGTAAAGAACTGGTAGCCTGGTGGCTTTTGGACACGCTTCACCTCCCCAGTGACTGGGTCTGTCTCCTCTTCAAACTTGAACATGCCATCGAAGTGCATGGGCATCGCCTCGTTGGAGGTTACATTGTTGCCCATCTTATCGTTGCGGCCGGCGTCGCGCACCTTCTGGATTATGCCAAAGCTCCAGGGTAGGATGGTGCCAAGCTCGGATGCTTTCTGGACATATAGCTCTTCTTCAAGAGTCTCCCGGAAGCCGCGCAGGACGACCGGGGAGAGTACATTGGAGATCTGGCGGACTTTGTGCATTGGTAGGTCGCGGATCGATGGAGGTGGCCGCGAGTCATCGATATCGCTGGGCTGGATGATGAGGCCACATGGGTAGAGGTGCTCGAACTTGACCCGCAGGCCGTCCTCAACCCAGTCAAAGAGCTTGGATTTCTCGCGGAAGTAGTATGGCTGACCGTTCTTGTAAACTAGGTCATGCGTCTCACGCACATCCTCGGCATGAACCGTGCGGTATGTGCCGTCCGCGCCAACCGCAATCGAAGAATGCCATGGCGTGTACCCAAGGGCCCCTCTGGCCTGTGGTACGAGCGAGATGGACAATTTCCTTGCTCCGTTGGACTCGTGGATGGATAGACGAACGTAATCGCCACGGTTGGCCTTGATGGCAGCAGCAAACATCTTTCCGCGGACGATCATGCTACGGGCAATCTGGGCAACATGAGCTGCTCTTGCCTTTTTGCTTGTATACTGCATGTCCATTTGAGGGGCGAGATCCTTGGTCAAGAACTTGATGTATCCGCGGTATGTGAGGCAGGTATCATTATCATTGCGGATGGCTGCATCAGCGTCAAAGCTGCGGTCTTCGAATCGGTACATCAACTCTCTTCGGAGACATTGAGCATGCGCCAGGTAGTATGACTTGGCTTGCTCAGCGCTGGTCAGAGGGATCCAGGGGTGTTCGAGAAGCTCAAACAGTCGGATAAATTTGACATGGCGAAGCTCCTTCTCGACTGCCATCCGGCGGAGGGCTTCTCCATATTCCCAGACTGTCTCATCGGGTACTCCCAGAATATCTATTAGGGTTAGCACGATGAAGCCCGTAAGTGCTGTACAAGAGACTTACCATTGTATACCAGCCCATCCGAGCTGATGTACACATCTGCACCCGGTTCGTAGACTCTTCCAATGTTCTCGCACAGGCCGTTCAAATGATATAACGCCAGCTCTTCTCCGAGATCTGGTATCACACCCAAGACCTTGTCTCGAGCATTGGGGGACTTGAAAGGGAAAGCCGGTAGGATCATCCGAACAGGTTCCCGCTTTTTGACTTGGTCAACCACGGTGGGAATGAACGAGGTAAGTCCCTGCCAGGACTCGCCAGTCTTTTCATAATTCACCCCATAGGACTCGATGACTTTCAGGACAGCAATTGCTGTTGCCTCATCTTCGGAGATAGGACTGCTCTCCTCTCTGTGGGCGGTTTTGGGGGCCTCGGCTGGGAGATATGAGGTGTCGTCCTTGGTCTCTTTGCCCTCGTGTTTGAATGTGACTGGGACTGCCTCCTTTGCTTCAACAAGCGGATCATCGCTGCTTTCGGTGATGGAGACGGTTACAGAGGGAATGTCCGTCTCGGACACGGTGTTTCCGTTTTCGGCGGTTTCATCGTGTAGACGGTCTTCGTTCAACGGCTGCTGCAGAGAAGACTCATTGCGGTGGCGCTCCTCAGTAAAGTCCTCGGCAGCTTCAGAGGAGGAGGAGGAAGCAGCGATTTCAGTCGTCTCAACATGCACGGTTTTTGACCCATACGAGCCAAGTAGGCCATTCTCTTGTGGCTCCCCAGAATATGAGACGGTAGCGTCCTCTGGGTTCTGTAGTACGGCAATCATATTCGACAAGAATTGCAGGCTGATAATCGATGTAAAGACTGATGCGGTTCGTCTCTCAGATGATGTGTAGTGTACTTCCGAGCGTGACTTCGGCCCAGCTCAATCCGTCGGTATGCAAGACTTTATATCTCTCCAGACAGGGAGAGACAGTGAAAGACCCAGTGAGAAGAAATCCATCTTCGTCAGCTATGCGATCAATGACGTCGAAGGAGCGGAGGATTCAGATTTGTCGTGCCATTGTTGACTAACAAGCTGAAGCAAGCCTCACTGTATGTGCATTTGTCTCAAACGCTATGAACACACCCGCTTGGCTTTGAGTTCTGGACAGTCAGCATCGTCCACAGCTGAATAATCTCAGTGTGTGAAAGCTTTATCAGGAGGCTGACCTGTATCCATGCCTTCTGTAGCCGGGGCATGCAAGCGAAGCAGAACCTTCTTCCGCTAGAAGCCTTGAAAGAGAACACGAGGTAGCTGACACAGAGTCTTCGGAGATGACAAGGCCTGCAGCTGCTTAGGCAGATATTATCGGCTCTGACCGAGGATTCGACAAATCGTGCAAATGACATGATGCCAATGTCTTCGCCTTCAAACCCCTGTGGGCGTCGTGTCACCCTTGTGGCACCCGGATGCGGAGCCAAGCCCCTTCAAGGAGACTGTTCACAGTCAGGTCAAATTCATCTTGAACGCCACAGCTGCTGAAGACAACCTACTCAGCATATGCTGCAGATTTGTGGAACTGTTGGAACTGTTTGTAGGGTTACACGCTCGCCACGTTCTCTACATGCAAAGCATCCAGGGCGAGACCCTTGGCCAGGGCTGTGTCCATACGTAATGGCGGATACGCAAAGAATCTATCAACTCAATCTTACTGTCGTGCTGCAGGGAGGCTGTACCAAGATTCAGGGCTGAGTCTAAACAATTTGTGACTCAAGCTGACTACAGATCAGGCTGAGAGAAGGCTTTCAGACAAAATTTGTATTGCCACAGACAATAGAGGAGGGTCGAGAACGCATCGAACTCATCCCTCGCCAAAAGAAATCTCAGCTAGCTTGGTAGCCAGTCATATCACTGCTTCCGATACCCTTTACTCAGAAGGCTGCCCTTTCCAATCATATTCCATCACGCGCGATATGAATGCCGCCATATCAGGGGAGGTCAACTGACTAACAAGATACAAAGATGCATCCAAGCTGCTGCTCACTCCTCCCGCCGACAGCAGCCTGGCGGACCCAGCTTTCAGGACTCCTGCGTCTATGAAGCGCTTATGCGACACCTCGGGAGGAGGAGCCCCTTCTCCATTTACGCGGATGCAAAACTCCCGAAGTCTCTCCACGGCACGATGGTGAGTGGTGACTCGGACTCCAGTCAAGAGTCTAGCCGCTCCGATCAGAAACGCTCCAGTGCAAATAGAGACAAGCACACGCGGTTCATCTGGCGTCTTCGGAGGTAGAGTGGCAAAGCTGCGAATAAGGTCTACCTCCGGGGGGTTGGACGCGACAAACGGATTGATAAGTGATGGTGGCCCACCAGGGACAATCATGATGTCGAAATCCGCAATTCCCTGCATTGCACCCTCAAGCAGCAGGTCCGTCTGGACCGTGAGCGCCTTCTTAGCGTTCACTGTTCGTGTTCGAGCAATGGTTTTGATCTGGAAAACCCTGTCCGGGTTATCAGGGTTTCGGTTGTGGGAGGTATGGGTGAAGACTTCCATTGGGGCCGTAAAATCAAGGATGTCTACTCCTTCGAAGAGTAGAAAGGCTACCTTGTAGTACTTCTTTGGCGGGGTAGCTGACATGGTGAAGGACAATTTCTCGCCTGTTTCAGACCGGGATACGGATCGTTGAGTGTAGTCAAGAATCGGATTCTGACAACCACGAATGCAAATATCCCAAAGAGAATTGTGTTGAACCAACGGAGCCTAGAAAGTAAGATACTTGTCTGATATTTGATCGAGCGAAGCAGTACGAGCGCGAAGGAATCTTTTCAGGGCCGGCCGTAAGCTGACACTGCTGACTACATCTGCACGGCCAGACCCCTGAGTCAGGCCATCACAAGGAACGAGGCGCATGCAGAATAATCATCACTTGCGACGCACATCGATCAGGCAATATGACGAGAGTCCTCGAGTATCAAGAGTAAAACAAGCGATCATTGATCGTGGTTGGTCAGTCTGTTGTATCCTCCATCTGTCTTTTGAATTCAAATCCCGTCAGTTCATAAGTATGCTACCCTTTCAAAGCGCAGGAACACTTCTCTGTAAATTTAGCTTAAAAGAATCAATAGATATTAATAGTACCATCTGCTAAAGATCAACTCTTCAAGTGCATTTGATCTGAGTGTCGGTGTGGTCTCTCTCCAGCCTTTTGCCGTCGCCCAAGGGAGTCAAGTTTTCTGCGGAAAGAAGAATGCAGAGACTCATCAAGGAGACTTGCCATCTTGTAGAGAGTCACATAACTGATACCCGCTATAAATTGTCAGGTGAAGATTGGAAATCAAATGCGTCTTCAATGGTGGAGTTGAAACAGGAGAGTGAGACGAAAAGTGGGCGATCGGGATGTGGACAAAAACGGCGTACATCTTCCGAGCAGCAGCTACAAATCACATAAACACCTGACGCCTCTTTCCACGGTTGTTGATGGTCCAAGTGGGGGGCAAGATGGACAATCTGGGGGTATATTCGAGCTATTCCAGAAGGTTGAGAGTGTTCAAATAGATGGTTGGTACCCCAATGGTCCCCTCTCTCAGTAGTCAGTACCCTTAAGAATATCTCTCCGCGCATACAACATCAACACAGAGACACTTCACCATGACTTCGCCAGCATATAGCCATCACTTCTCCATCAACAATCTCCCCTTTGGAGTGGCATCCTCATCCCAGCATCCTCAACCCCAATGTGCTACACGCCTCAACAACACCGTCATCTTCCTCGGAGACCTGCAGCGAGCCGGTCTCTTCAGCCAGGTCTCCGGTCTGCCAGCGGGAACATTCGACAACTCCACCCTGAATGCCTTCGCAGCCCTAGATAAACCAGTCCACAAGCAAGTCCGACAAGCGCTGCAATCTGCCTTGCAAGAATCCGGAGTCGAGCACCTGCCCACAGGCAGCATGGAACCCATCACTGCTGTCCAGATGCATCTTCCCGTCTCCATTCCAGCGTTTACGGGTCAGTACCTCCTGCCCGTCCCCTATCCCAATCTCATACATTGCAGACAGACTAACTTCTCCCAGACTTCTCTTGCAGCCTCGACCACGTCAAAAACGCAGGCAGGGCAATCCTGAACGACGAAACCCCGCCACCAGGTTTCTTCCACTTCCCCATCGGCTACGGCAGCCGCGCAAGCACTATCGTTCCTTCAGGGACACCAATTACCCGGCCCCTAGGCCACTTCTACGACAGATCCGCGCCGACCGAGAAGAAGCCCGTGATCTACGAGCCCTCACGGGCAATGGACTACGAGGTCGAGATCGGTGCTGTAGTCGGCAAGCCCCTGCCACCGCACCACGGTCTGAACGCCAAGGACGCAGACGAGCATATATTCGGGCTGGTGATTCTGAACGATTGGAGCGGTGAGTCAACTTTTCCTCCCGGAAAATCCAGATAGAAGAAGATAGCTAATAGTCTGCCTCGAATTGGAAACAGCCCGCGACATCCAAGGTCTTGAAATGGTCCCTCTCGGCCCGCTTAACGGCAAAGCCTTCGGAACCACCATCTCCCCCTGGATCGTGACTCTGGACGCGCTGGAGCCATTCAAGGCCCCCGGTCCTGAACCCCGCGTCTCGCTGCCGAGACACCTCCAGGACACTGTTGACTTCAACTACGCCATCAGCATGAAGGTCGAGCTGGAGCATGGCGCGTCCACGACGCTGCTGAGCGAGTCCCAGGCCCGGGACCTATTCTGGAGTTGTCGGCAGATGTGTGCGCATCTCGCCAGCACGGGGTGTGACTTACGGACGGGAGACATCCTGGGCACGGGCACGGTGAGTGGGTCCACGGAGGGGAGCTATGGGTGTTTGCTTGAGATCACGCAGGGCGGGAAGGTGCCTCTGGCGTTGTCAGATGGGTCGCCGAGACACTTCTTGCAGGATGGGGATGTGGTGAGGATGTCGGCGGTGGCCGGGGATGTCTCGTCGGGTGTCGGGTTCGGCGAGTGCGTTGGTGAATTGAAGCCAGCAAGGGCGGTCCAGTAGATGTACATCGAGTTATGAAAGAAGGCATTTCAGATCGGTTGCGTTGTCATGTTATGAAGCTGGCGTATATTATAGATTCATATTGACTGATGACGAAATATGACTTCAGAAGCAGACTCGAAATGCTCAAACGCGAAGCCATCCCACTGTCAAATCATCGAACGCCCAAGAGACAGATCATAAAACAGATTGATGGATCGGAAAGTACCAGAAATGACACCCCGAGACCTGTCCACGCCCATAAACCCCTACCAATGCGAAAAAAAGACTTAGTAGCGTGTGAGAGCTATCATGCTTCTAACATCAGAATCAGCTCCAAAGCGGAGGATGAATGTACTCCGCCGCGCGGTCAAGGATAGTAGGTATGGTCCACTCCCCACTCGTGGAACTCTCAGGCGTCGGAGGCGGCAGCGACCCAACGCTAGGTGTCATAGCACCGACGGATACAGGAAGAACAAGATTAGCCGCAGTTGCTGAACCCGCCGAGGGGTGCCGGTACGCTGAACTGCCACTGTGACCGGCAGCCCGGTTGCTCTGGGAAGAGAACGCAGCTTCTAGCTTTTCCAATGCACGGTAGGTCTTGGTTAATGGCTTAGCCCATTGGGTCTGTGTATCAAACGGTACGAGCGCAGGGACTGGAGAGGTCGCGTCCAGAGCAGCAGGACTAGTCCCCGTCATACTCGCAGCTCCGGAAACCGTATTGTAAGTTGTGCCGCCGGCTGTGACATGACCTGGTCCGACGACGCCTTCTTCATTGGCGCGTTCGCCGACGATGTTTTTGAGCTGGTGCAACAGGGTCCAAAACTGAGGGTCCGTCTTAGACTCCTCCGTTACTGCTAGAAGGAACATTGAGCTGATCGCTCGCTGCAGAGTAACCCAGGAGCGCGACGCATGAGAACTGATTGTATGCATCTCAACGTACGCCTCGACGGTTGTCATCAGATTCCTGACACAGTCAGCACGCATGCTGACGGAAGTTGGATCGTTCGAGTCGGGTGGGGATTTGAGCGCTGGACGACACAGCTCGGAAGAAAAGTAGGAAGAATGGAGCTTCAGTACAACCCTCTCCAAATGTTCTGTGGATGAAAGGCAGTACTTGCGGTCACGCAAATGCGGTTTGGCTTCAATCATAATTTGTTGAATCCTTTCTTTATAAGTTTTTATGGTTTTGAAGCTCATTTGTGAGTGAGAGCTAAGCATCCGGGAGCGTACGACCTCGAGGGCTAGAGAGATTATCCGGCAAAGAGTTTCGAAATACGAGAGCTCTCCAGGCTTCGAGTCTTCGCGGTACGCGATATCCGGCTGGCTGACGGCGGTGGTTGACGGTCGATCGTAAGAGAGAGAGAAATGACTGTCCTGCCATGCCATAGACCACCTAAACAGCATTAGCATGATGTTAGAACCCTTAATTAAGGCTGAGAGACTATACCAAACATGTCGTCTACGGTAGCGCTCCTCTAGTGAGAAGCGACTTGATTCTACATGGAGACCAAGCGCAAGACCCATACGAAGTGTCATGCCTGGCGCCAGTTAGTCCAACGAGTCCACGGGAAAGTTTCCCTGATTCACTCACCAAGTAAGACATAAGAGATACCAGGGTTCATATTGTACGACAACACGTTACCAATCACCAACAGAGTCTGAATGGCTTCTATGGTAGGTTGTGATAGGAAATTGGTCATCCGGAGACATTGGTAGGAGCAGCACACTAAATTCAGTGAGTTTAGATGATCGTGCAAGTGTAAATGCGCAACATACCATAGACTTGAGAAGTCAGTTCTCTCTCTTTTCCAGGCAAGTCGGATGATTGACAGCCGGAAGCCAGCACGGCGAAGAGCAGACCCAAGTAGGCTATAGTCACCCCGAAAGGTCGCTGTGCTTGATCCGTGTCCGTTCGGTATACGCCACCCATAGATGCTCTACTTCGTAATAAAAGATCGAGGTTCATTTCAAACTGCTGGATATCTTCAATGACAGGATAAATTGCTCCTGCGACGTCCCGGTAGTAGAAGAAAAACCTGCCAGCCTGTTAGCATTCAATGAGGCCCAGCAACAATCCCAGCCAAAGGTAGAGGACTAACTCCTTGCACTGCTGATCACTTGGGAGCGCACTACAGACTGCGCTAATGTCAAAAGTCGACATATCCGAAGACCACAAATCAACAAACGGATATGTGGCGGACTCATTGTCGAGGCCCAACTTCGGCAGGATCCCACCCTCAAGGAGAGCTTGGAGCTGGTCAGACCCGGACTTGTTGTTGAGAATGTACGCAAGGACAGATCTAGACCCCAAGTGCACAGTGCCTTCGCCCAACGTGTTCGCTGCATGAATGCCCTCCCGTTCCGGAGAAGCAGCCTTGGATCGATTACTCCCATCCCCACTATGCGCACTGCCCGTCTCCAGGATCCCACCGGGCCCCTCCTCGGCCCGTTCCAGTCCGACTCGCAAGTTCGAAATAGTCTTCTCCATCTCCTTCAATCTGTTGCGAACATTGTCCCACTCCTCCCGCGCAATGGATATACGGTTCCCGGATCCAAAGGAATTAATCGCACTTGCCCCGGCCTCCTGCTTGATCCGCAGATGAGGTTCCTCTTGGCCGGCTGACGCCGTAGGCTCTGCTACACCCGGCTGAGAGACCCCGGCGGGGCTGTCGCTGTATGATGGAGGGATCGAACTTGCCACAATCCTTTTTTTCGACGGCCGCTCGTACGAGCAGAGATCGGCATGGTCGCGCTTGACACATCCGTCGCACGGAAGTTTGCGGTCGCATTTCACTTTGCGCGCATGGCATGGGTAACAGGCTTTGGGTTCGCGCGCTTTTCGTTTTGTTCGAATAATCGCGTCAACTTGGGATTGCGGGAGGTCGGATACAGATCGCGAGGTAGCGGCGGTCAGGTCGGAGCCGGCTGCAGACGGCGAGAACGATATTGAGGCTTGGTAGGGAGACGCCATTGAAAATAAATCAAGAGTTAGAGCTCTATCGAGAAATTCCAAAATTCTGCGTGCGTTTTTGTGGCTATAAAGATTCGATGAGAGACCCGGCTGAGCCAACCGCGGAGATCATGGAGCAAAGAGGAAGATCGGATGCCGCGCGAGATATATCAATCGACGGCAGCGTCAAAGGCAGGTCAGGAGAAATACATCACTTTCCAGCAGCAGATCTAGAATTAAGTCTTCAGAGCCACAGTTCTCAGCAATCCTGCACGTTAGCAGCGCATGAAGAAAGCTGTGGTGCGGGCGGCCTGAGCTCTCGAGTTGGAGTATCCGATGTTACTAAGCCGTAATCTGCGCGGCACGTGATTGGAGCGGGGAAGGTCAACCCTAATTCCAAAAGAGGAAAGGGATGACGTCTTGACCAGGCGAACTTGAAATAATGATGGCGATGTTCCCATACCTTAAGCGAATAACTTACTCATATTGGAGGGAAAGCAATCTCAAAGAAAGTAATTGAATGAAATTATATCTATTAAACTAATTCTATCGTAATTGGTATATGATATATATCAACGCTTCCGAAAACAATCCCAGACGACTCCGCTTTTTTATATGCCATTCAGATGAAATGAATCGTAACCAAGAAGATGAACCCCACCAGAACATGCATGGTAAACCCAACACAATTTATAAAGAAGATATCGGGTATGCAACAGCATTTTTCGAAAGTTCTAACCCATTAAGCAGAAAGACATGCATCGAAGATCTCTAGTGCTTGTCTCCCGGTCCCTGCTGCTCCTCGTCGTCGGCGAAGGCAAACTTTGAGTAACGACGAATGGAAGCGCCTTTGAAGTAGAAGGCGTAGGGGATTGCGCAGCAAGCGAGTGCAATGAAAGCCAGCAATGAACTGGCCCATTGGTCGTTCAATCGGTCATACATCTGCTCAGTGAACAATACGGTGGAAGCACCCCACATGGAACGGATGAAAGTCTTTGCGGCAAGGGCAGAGGCTGCCTGGTGCTGATATGTATCCACTGGAGTAGCAATTAGTACTATGCCATCATTGAGAGAAATGAAGAGAACATACCGAGGTAATTGTTCGCGGAGTTGTACAAGAAGATAAAGCCAAATCCAACGGGGAAGCCACCAATGGCAGGGCCAATCCAGTGGATGTTCGGGTATGACGTCCAGGCGAAGATAAAGAGACCGATGGGGATAAACCAGCATGAAAGCATCATAGGGATCAGACGCGCTTCAGCTGGAGGCTTTCCACCGTACTTCTTACAAAGTGAAAGGTAGTGCGTGTTGACAAAAGGAGCACAGGCAGCGCTACACAAGACACCAATGGCCAAAGGAATGAACATCAGACCAGTAGGGCCTGCGCTCCATCCCTTTCCTTTTTGGTAAATAATGGGATAGCTAGAAAATAAGCTGTCAGTTCAGTCCTCGAAGAATCTCGCAAGGCAGTGTCAACTTACGCGACGAAGAACATGTATAGCAAGCCATACAAGACGGACATATAAAGGGAGATGAACAGAACAATGGGTTCCAAAAACAGAAGCTGGAATGGACGGAAGAGGAAGATGCGTAATCTCTCTCCCATGGGGCGCGCGTCCAATTCTGTCTCGGTGACGTACTTCGGATCGTTCTCAGTCTTCCTCAATTGCTTCGCTCTCTTCTTCAAAATCATGGGGGCATAGGTCTCAGGGACGGTGAAGGTAATCAGGACCCAGGCGACGAAGGCCAGAATGAGCTGGATCCAGTAAAGCCATCTCCAACCAGCACGGCAGAGGTATCCACCGACAAGAGGACCGATGGCGGGACCGATGAAAGGGCTGGCAGAGAAGGCAGCCATGGGGACACCACGTTCCTCATTCCTCCACAGATCAGCCAGGGTACCGCCGACCAACGTCATTGGAGCACTGAATGCGATGCCATCGATAGCTCTGCAGACGATAAGCGTACCGATGTTCTTGGAAACTGCGCAAGGTATGACGAAGATAACCGCAAGCAGGAGCGTAACAGCGTAAACAGGCCTGCGCCCAACCATTTCCGAAAGAGGAGC